CCAATTAATACACAATTTCATATATTAGCATGATCAAACATATCAATTTATCATGCTATCACGTAATCATTTAATCAAATAATCACGTATTAATTACTTTGGGTGATAACCAAGATCCGGTTATCACATGCGATTTCCTTGATGAAATCTTTGGGTTGCAAAAATTAAAAAGACATGGGTCATCTTTCATTTTTGGCCCAAACACTTTCCACTGTTACCAAACCAAACACTTTAAACCCGTTTTTCTCCAATGCGGACATTGTTCGGTTTAAGTTTGGGGGAGGTTGTATGCCAAAGTGTTGAGAAAAAAAAATCTTGAAGTATCAAATGTCTTCGGAAAATTGTAAGACACAAAAAAATAGAAAATAAAGCAAAATGCTTTAACCCAAAGACCAAAAGTGAATATCACTTGTTGGGTTTCTTGAAAGTGTCAAAGACACAACAAAAAGATGCGAAAAAACGAAATCATTCAAAGCAATTGTTGTCATTCTAAGACAAGTTTGGGGGAATTTTTTTAGCCAAAAATAGAAACCCCTATAAAAGTTTCACCGATTAATTTTTGCACCTCGAAGATCAAAGAAGGGAAGTTGTACAACATTCAAGCCCGACGAGATTTCAACGCCCCTCCATAAGTTATGATTTCTTGTTCCTCTTCGTTCATATTCCTTTTATTTTTGTTACTTGAGGACAACTAATATCTTAAGTTTGGGGATGTGATAACTCTTATTTTTAAGAGTTATTTCCTATTTATTTCCTCCCTTTTTATTATTATTAAATACCTAATTTTCATGTTTTTCCCCTTTTATTCCAAAAAGTTTTAAAAATATGATGAAACACAAAGGAAGAAGTATTATTCCAAAAACTTGTATTTTCTGGTAGAACTACCCACTGTGGGACCACTGTGGGATGTCTACGAGCCTTGTTGCTGTTTCTTGGGAAACATGCAGCTTGAAGATTCATCCAGATATTTTCTCCAGCTGTATATGAGCTGTTTTCCTTCTTCTATTTTATTTTTATTTGTATTTTTTTAGCAGTGTACTAATTATCCTTAGGGTAATAATTGGTTATACTTGCTCCCCTTCTCCTCCCTATATAAAGAGGCTTTGGAAGTCATTTTGAGGAGGCACCAACCGCACCAAGTAAGACACAAAACACCTTTTGTGTCTCACTTCTCCCTTTTCTTTCTTTTACTTTTATTATGCTTTTTAATTTATGTCTTTAATTTCTGGTCTAGTATTTTATTTCCTTGTACTTGTAATTTAGTTTTACATTAATGCAATTTTTATTTCAGTATTATTTTATGTTTTTAATTATTTTTATTATGTTTAGCTAAATTACTCGTACGGGTGTGAGTGTGAGTTTAGCTTAGGATGTTTATATAATATTTGGGTGTTTTTATCTTTTATCACTTCGTAACTTGGTCACTTAAGACGGGGGTTAAACTCGACGCGGATAAGCCGATCACTTTGAAGTGTTAATATTAGATCTTAGACTCAGAGATGGGTGGATCCGAAATACGGCTTAAGTGATGCACAAAGAACTCGAGAGAGTCTTTGAATAATTACATGGAGACGCGAATTTTGTATGTATTTAGCTAGGGGTTAAGCAATAGGTATTCTTATCACAAAGATATTTGGGTAAGAATCGCATTCCTTTTACTTTTTAGCTAGATCGGCAAGTTTCGAAGTGTTAAACGTAAAAATGTTATGGAATTTTATGAGGCCCGGTTATAAAAGTTCACTTTCGAGATATTAGAGTTTTTATAAACAACTCATAAAAGTCTAACCATTTTATTGTTAATTTTATCTTAAGCAACACTTGCACCCATACCCATTAATTAATATTAAAAGTTTATTTCGTTATTTCGCTAGTCAGTCCTATTTCGGTCTTTTTATAAACAAAAATCCAACTTTAATTTACAACTCAAAACTCATGCAAGAAGTTCATGAAAAGTCTCTGAATCTCAGTAGTACCTTCTCTGTGGAACGATCTCGGTACTTTGTACCATTTTATTACTTGCAAACGATCATAGTGTCGGCGTGCACTTGCACCGCCACTGTGGGGACATAGTGCCCACTGGGTGAACATGAACGATCCAAGCCTGTCACATACTCACCCAACCACTACTATAAATAGGTATATGATACCCTCATCCAACTACTTCAAGATTTCTTTCTTAACAACCTCCTTCATGATGTGATTTAATCTCCTTTTGTGGTTGCATCTTTCCAACACTATTTTTTCCAAAATTATCTTATGTTGGCAAAGAGACAACCTAATACCCCTAATATCGGCAATGGTCCAACCTATGACTCTCTTGTGAGCTTTCAACACCTCTATGAACCTTAATGAACAAGAGTTCATTACTTAATTTTGAAGAAATAATTACTGGCAATTTTCCTTCTCCATAAGATAAACATACTTAAGGTGACTAGGAAGTGGCTTTAATTCTAATTCTGGGGCTTGCTCTATAGATGGGTCTTGGATATTTTTATCTTTAAAGTCAAGTTGTTCAAATGCAGCTAAATCTTCCAATTCAACTTTTTCCTCCATTATGTCCATAGATATTCCCACAGTGTCACCACTGTGAGGAGAGTTAATCAAACTTAACTCTAGATCTTCATCTAAAGCACGAATAGCTGAACAATCCTCAATCTCCGATGAAACTTAAGGGAATTGAATACGTTGAACTGCACTTCCTAATCACTTACTCTCATAGTTAACTCCCCTTTTTGCACATCAATTAATGTTCTCCTGGTCGCAAGAAAGGGTCGACCTAAAATAATTGGGATATTTTTATCAGCTTCATAATCCAATACTAGAAAATCGGTCGGAAAGATATATTTATTGACTTGGACCAAAATGTCTTTTATCTTACCCTTGGGATAAGTAATGAACCTATCCATCAATTGTAAGGTCACGGTAGTTGGATGACTTCTCCTATTTCGAGTTTGTTAAAACTGACAATGGCATGAGATTTATGCTCGCCCCTAAATCACATAGGGCATGACCTGCCTCTTTTTCTCCTATAGAACATGGGATGGTAAAACTTTCGGATCTTTAAGCTTGGAAGGAATTTTGCAAGTAAGAAGTGCGCTACATTCTTTGGTCAAAACAACATTCTCAAATTCGTTCAACCTTCTCTTTTTATTTAAAATGTCTTTGAAAAATTTAACATAACTTGACATTTGCTCAAGAGCCTCTACACCAAAGGTATGCTAGTGTGAAGTTAATTAAAGATGTACAAAAATTTCTTAAATTGTTCGTCCACATTTTTTGTTTTCATTCTTTCCGGAAAAGGTACAGTTTGCAAATCTGGAGTTAGTTGGTTGGACTTTTTCTGCTAGAGAATGGGCATAATCTCCCACTATGGGAAGTCTGAGCTAAGAGCTGTTTGGTGTTGGACGTGGATGCAGAGACTATTTTCTAGGCAAAAGTTGGATTTTGAGTTTCTTCATTAAGAGGACAAAAAATTGGAAAATTCGACCTATCAAAAACCTGTGAAAGTCTAGATTGTTTCGAAGGGTCAAAAGTGTAACTTATCTTTAACCACACTCCTCATGGTTTTTTAATGTTCTTAATTTTTCATATAAAACCTAAAAAAGTTTATGATTTATATTTAAAGATAAAAAAAATCATTTTAAGCTCTAATTTTTTGTGATTTCACGAACAATCATATCCCAAAACTGTCAATTTTTTTAAAAATTCCGGCCTATGCCTTTGAATGGTCAAAGGTATTGTTTAATCTCTTTTCATTACTAATTTTTTTATAGTACCAAAATGTGGATATATGGTTTAAACCCCATGATCGCTTGCATGCTCAATTATTCAAGTCCATGTCGATATATGGTTTCCTAATTCTCTTTTGTACTCCTTTAGTTCTTTGAAGACCACCCATCTTCATATTGCTTTTCCTCCACTGAGATTTATTAAATTGATGAACAGATTATATGTATATGAATAGATTTTAGCAATTTACACCAGGTTTGATATGAATCACTGACTGCATATATAGTGAATGATCTATGTTCATTGTTAACTTCACTCTAAATCAATGCTATGATTTTGCATCGAGTTAATTTGCATAAAGATTTTGCAGATGATAAAGTTTTATCTGGGTTTTTTGTTTTTATTATAATTGTATTTTAAAAAGGAGACGTTTTTACAACTAAAATGAAACACCTTAGTTGTTAGAGGTTTTCTATGTATAGCTTCTCATTACATTTCTTCATATCTATTGCTTCTGTTAAAAGAAAATTGCAAATTCTATAACAGAATTTCTTCATGAGTACAACCAAAGGTCCAACAAGCTAGTGTTAATCCACCACAACATAATTGGCTAATTTAAAACAAATTTACATAAACAAGTTATATGAGATGCTACAATTGTACAACACACAAGACAAAAATGGCTGTACAATCTACAAAGTAAAAAGAGATGATGAATCACAGGAAATGAGGCTTAGTCTGCAATAGCATTAGCATTAGCATTTGCATTTGCATTTGCATTTGGATCAGCATTTGCATTTGGATTAGGATTAGCATTTGCATTTGCATTTGCATTTGCATTAGCATTAGCATTAGCATTGTGAGTTTGGCCATCCGTTGGTGGATATGACAAGTGATACATCTGCTCCTGAGTTAGTCCTGGACAAACCCCCTATCACAAATGTAATTATACACCTATGTCAAACTCTTTTATCTTTGCTTTTAAACCACACTTCTCAAATATAGTTATAATAATTGTACCTTAATAATTCCCGATATAGACGTTGTTGACTTATGGAAGCCGTAGTGCGTAACATAGCTGGTGGAACCCACATCTCTCTGGAACCGACTGCTATTATTAGTGATTTGGTTGGAGATAGAATAGGAAGTAGGTCTAAAATCACAGTATGCCCCAAAGTATGAACAATGTTCACGGACTAGAGAAATTCTAGGAGTCATGGAAAACAGGTGGCCTTCCGTGCTGAAAATATACCTGCAAAAGGGAAACATTCTTTTTATGAAACACACAACCATATCACCAAAAAAAGGGCAATGTAGAAACAACTTACTTGTAGGGACCATTTTCAACTAGGTTATCTGGGCCAACAGCCAAATCAAAAAGAAGCCACAAATATTTGACCTAAAACAAGTTCCATAATGAAGAAATGTTGGAGTTAACTAACACTCATGCATATTCAATAAGCTATAATAAACAAACCACAACATAGGCAGTAGCTAGAAATGTTATTTCATCAGTGCTGTATTTCCATACTGTCTCAGCTAACACTCTCAGCTAAAAAGAAGCTCTCCATGTGATCTTCCTCAACTAACACTCTCATGCATATTTAATAAGCTATAATAAACAAACCACAACATAGGCATTAGCTAGAAATGTTATTTCATCAGTGCTGTATTTGCATACCGTCTCAGCTAAAAAGAAGCTCTCCATGTGATCTTCCTGCTTATGAAACTCTACATCTGATATGTGACAATAACCACAAGTGCAACGGGCTCCATACTGCAAGCTGCTAACGATATCTCGTCCTACATCAAGATACCTGAACACACATGAATCATTTTAACCTTTGATGTTTTTCCAGGGGAAAGTTATTATATATGATGTTATGCTCCATTGAAGATCAATTTTTCTCTATTCGGTTTCCATTCGGCACCATAAAACCAAAAAAAACAAAAAGATCTTAACCATATGTACAATTATTTGATAACTAAGAAATTAAACGCATATGATATTGTGAGAGCATCACTGATTACATATAATGTTGTTTTCAGTTATTTAAGTTTATGACGAAATTGAATTTATTTTGAGAACACAACTCCTGTTGGTCCATATCAGATAAATTGTCTACACAGCTAGTTGAAGGTTCAAATCTATGGTACACACAGTTTCTCTTTTAAAGAAAATTTGGATGGTCAAATGGCCGGCTTAGTCAGTTAAGTTTGAACCCTCAGTTGATGGTTCCATATAGGATGAAAAGTATATGGAATAAAGACCACTATTTGCAATAGAAAATGAATAGATGATTCCCTTATCAATTTCATATATATTCTAACAGGTCCACTTTATTGAGATTGTGAGTTCTCACTTTTTTTCCTCAAGACAAACAAAGTAGAAATAGAAAAGTATAAGTGAAGGAAAAAACTGGTCATATATGTAATCTGGGTTTTGGTGTGATGCTTACTCATATATATAATCAACTCATCATATAATAGTCTACAAACAGCTACTAAAGTTTTGAATGCTATAGATTGCATAGAAAACAAAGCATATATGGAAGAGGGAGCATCGTGCAGTCATAATGAAATTAAACCAAATTAAGCTGCCAACCTAGGATCCCTGGTAGCTTTGTAGAGCCAGTAAGTGCTCTCTATCAGTTCTGGACGTAATGGGTAGCTTTTCTGACCATGCTGCAGATGGATTTAGAAGAACAAGACATATGTTAATCTTTATGGCATAACTGAAGACATATAAGAACAAAACCCACTAAATTTCAGCAATTGAAAATAATAGATTAGTATGATTCAGACATTTTTTGGCCCAGGCATCACCATTTTAAATTCTATAATAAATGTGTCTTTCTATGTGCCACATTAAGTGCCTGCTAAGAAAATGAAATCCCATCCTACAATGAAAACTGTACTCAAGGCTCGTCTGAGATACATAAGAGTAGATATCATGTTTTTAAAGTCCCTTGATAATTGGTCCACGTCCAAAGAAAGCACAAGCAAGCTCCCTACAGACTAAAGCAGGCTCCTTGTGTTTTTAAAGCCCCTTGATAATTGGTCCACGGTTGCATTATATCCCTGTTAAGTAGGCTCTCTACAAACTAAAGCAGGCTCCTTGTGTTTGGTTCTCTCATGCACTAGAAGCATTTGGCATGACCGGTAGTGCCTATGATTATTTTTATGTGTTTTCGAAAAAAGAGTTGCAAGAGTGTTGTGCTAGTTTTTCTATAAGGAAGAAATTGCTAATATTGGAAATTTTCACCCAAAAGGAGTTCCATACTACCAAAAGACTGGTAGTCTCATGTACTACCATGGCATTGGGGTAACCAGAATTTCTCCGGCAAAGTATTTCCATCATATTTATGCTGAAGTAGGTATGCTTCACTATCGGAGAATAGATCTAACTATACTTCCTTATTTTAAATGGAGAAAGCCTCAAGGATCCAGGGAAATATCCAAGACTTGGAAAAATTAAACTCTCTCGTAACTACAAAGTAATACATTTCTATTTTCGGTGAGTATGGTAAGCCAATTTATGTCTTTCTGTTATATGAATGACTAGGATGCAGTGATACACATCTTAAGATATCTCAAAAATGCACCTTGGAAGGGCCTCCTCTACGCTAATTCAAGGACATTTATACACAAATCATTGGCTACTCTGATGCAAGACAGACAGTAGGATATCAACTACATAACACAGTGAATATTTTTGGTAAAGATTTTATATAAAGGAAAAGTATGAAAAAGACAGGATGTAATCTCCTAAGATCCAGATATCGAGCCATGGCACGAATAGCTTGCAAACTAACATGGGTTCGGCAACTAACACAACAGCTAGAAGATTGCTAGACAGGATTGATGGAATGTACTGCAACAATCAATCAATTATGCATATCTAGAAGAACTTTATCTTTCATAAACAAACAAGACACAAATGTTGCCTCTCAATTTGTTTGTGAAAAAAGTGGCAGAAACCTCTCAAAGATGCACGTCTACATATACCAACTAGTTCAGGTTCGATCAAAAGGACACTTGCTTCATTGATATATTGACAAAGCCGAAATGTTCACAGATTAGCTCTATATGTGACAGGTTGAGTATGTTTGACATATATGCTCCAACTTTAAGAGTATCAAACATAGAAGTAAATGTGTCAATATAATTGTATTATCGTTGGTATGTTACTAATAAGGTTTACGGGTCTTGATACATGGCCCATGCTGTTTTCTTAATAATAGAGCATGCTTCCGAGAAATCCTTTTTCTTGAAAAAACTATTTCCTAACTGTATCCCTGATAAATGCCTAAAAGAACATTAACAAGTGATTGCAGAGACTACTAGACTAACATCTCTTCAAGATTAAGATGTATGACAAGCTATAGGAGCTTCTCCAAAGTTTTAAACCAGCACTTCATTGAGAATGTCAGGAAAAGCTTTATCTGCTACATGTTACCTCAACGGAGAGATGTTTCCACCTAAAGAGATATCATCATGCTCATGACAATCCCATCTTTGTTGCTTCAGGTTAGACAAACTCGGATACCAAAAGAGTGAAAAGGGACATTGATAGACTTCAGAGTATAAAGACATATTCAAGAAGGAAAGGGAGGAGGGCAGATAAATAAGATAAAGATAAAGCAAGTCTTGGATAAGCCATAAGTCCTCAAGTTTACAGATAACTATCTTATGTTTATTTTAATTGTTTTATTTGTTCTTCTTTAGGATCCGTTTTATTCCAGGAGTCTTTTACTTCTTAGTTTAAATACTTTCATTGTTTACCTTTTTGGAATATAGATCAATTTATTATAATTCAATTCTCTATAATTGAATAGGGAGAGACTGCAGCCTCTCGAAAGCTGTAGGGTTTTAATACTCTAATCTTGGCAACCTTTTATCGACTCTTATCAAATTGGTATCAGAGCCTACCGCTGCTGTTCTGGATTAGTAATCGTGTTACTATCCACGAATTTCTGTTCACTATTCATGAATCACTGTTTACGATTACTATTCACGCGATAATGACTCGATCAAAAACATCGAGGAAGGACGAGGTGGAGGGAAGCTTGGAAACGGTCCAAGCGGAGGTGAACTCGTTGAAGGACGACAAGCAGAAAGTGATCAAACAAATGGAAACAATGTTGATATTGCAAGGAGAAGCGCTTAGGAGAATGGAGAAGAGTGGGGGGGAGGATGAAAGCGAAGACAATGGACAACCAAAAAAAGCGGACTATCGCGTAGACAAAAACTACAATACTGGTTGGTTTCTTGCGATAAGGGGGAGGAAACTAGAGTTACTTGTTTCGAAGGGACAGACCTAGACGGTTGGATATTTAGGGCTGAAAGGTATTTCGCTCTTAATAAACTAACCAATGAAGAAAAACTAGAAGTCTCGGTCATTGCTTTTGAGGGTGACGCCTTGCTGTGGTTCCAGTGGGAGAATAAGAAGAGACCCATTAGGCTATGGGAAGAATTAAAAACATTACTGCTTCATCAGTTTAGACCAGCGGGGGAGGGATCTTTATGTGAGCAATTCTTGGCCTTTAAGCAAGACGGCACGATGGCAGAATACACAAGAAGGTTTGCTATGTTGGCAGCCCTGTTAGAAGGGATTTCGGATGAAGTTTTCGTTAGTCAATTCTTAAACGGGTCGAGTCCACAAATCAGGGCAGAAGTTCGCACCCTCGCACCGGTGGGATTGGGAAAGGCCATGGAACTAGCTCAGAGGATAGAAGAAAAAAACAAGATTTTAGCAAGAATAAATAACCCAAAAGGTAGTTGGTTGAACAAGCGTAATGAAGAAGGATTTGTGGGAAACAAGAGATTTGTTGAACGCTCCAACAAGAGTAGTGGACAGGAAGTAAAATCTGTCGGGGAATTCAGAAGGTTGTCCGATCAAGAACTTCAACAAAGTAGGGCTCAAGGTTTATGTTACAGGTGTGATGAGAAGTATTCTCCGGGTCACCGATGCAAAAAGAAGGAGCTTAGCGTGTTGGTGGTTCAAGAGGCGGAAGAGTACAACGTCCATGAAGACGCGGAAATGGGGGAGATGACGGAATTGGTAGGGATAGAAATGGGAGGAGAACTGGAAGTATTATTGAATTCAATAGTAGGACTATCAACAACGAAGACTATGAAGCTAGAAGGAGAGGTAGAAGGCCAAAAGGTAGTTGTTTTAATTGACAGCGGAGCTTCCCACAATTTTATAGCCACAATGTTAGTTGAGAAACTCGGATTATCTACAAGAATCACAGAAGAATATGATATCTCAATGGGAGCGAGAGAAGCCTTGAAGGGACACGGAGTATGTCAAGGGGTGAAGCTAAGTATGCAAGGAATTGAAGTTGTGGAAGAATTTTTGCCCATTAATTTGGGAAACTCGGATGTAATATTAGGCGTTAAGTGGTTGGTCTCACTGGGACCAACATGGGTGAATTGGCAAAACCAGGTTATGAGATTCAAAAAAGGAGGGGAAACCCTAACCTTAAAAGGAAATCCAGCTCTTGCCAGATCCCTAGTATCATTAAAATCGATGATGAAGGCACTATAGAATGAAGGACAAGGGGTGTTAATTGAATTAGGAAATGTGAAAGCTGAGAACAAGGATAGCAAAATGTTATCAGACGACATGGAGAAACTAATAAAAGAGTATGAGGCTGTTTTTTGTATGCCAAACGGGGTTGCCACCAAAAAGAGAGAGAGAACATGGGATCATGCTTAAGCAAGGAGTCGAACTGGTCAATGTCCGCCCTTATCGTTACCCGCGATACTAGAACGATGAGATCGAAAAATTGGTCAAAGAAATGTTCAGTGCAGAAATAATCCAATATTAGCCAAAGTTACTTTTGGTTAAAAAGAAGGATGGGAGTTGGAGATTTTGCGTTGGTTATGGATTTTATAGAAGGACTACCAAAATCGGAGGGCATGGATACAATCATGGTGGTAGTCAATCGGTTAAGCAAATACGCTCACTTCATTCCGTTAAAACACCCATTTTCAACAGCAACGGTAGCTGAAGTTTTTATATGGGAGATTGTCAAACTGCATGGCATTCCGAACTCAGTGATCACGGATAGGGATAAGGTTTTTCTTAGCAGTTTTTGGAAGGAGATTTTCCGATTACAAGGTACGAAGTTAAAGTTCACCACTGCATATCATCCACAGTCCGACGGACAAACGAAAGTTGTCAACCGCAGCATTGAGCAGTACTTACGATGTTTTATGTCGGACAAGCCACGACTATGGACAAGATGGTTGGCATGGGCTGAATATTGGTACAATACCACGTACCACAGCTCTATTCGTTGTTCACCGTTTAAAGCATTATATGGGAGAGATGCTCCAACAATATTGCGATTTAAAGAAGGCTCAACCATTGCTCCAGCCGTGGAGCAAATGTTAAAAAACAAAGATGATGTGATTGATTTGCTATGAATGTTCTTAATGCAAGCACAACACAAAATGAAACAAGTTGATGGGCATAGGAAAGAGATAAATTTTGACGTTGGGGATATGGTTTTCTTGAAGCTTAGGCCTTACCGACAAAAATCTTTAAGGAAACGCAACAACCAAAAGCTGTTCGCGTGTTTTTATGGACCATTTAAAGTGGTAGGCAAGGTGGGAAGGGTGGCCTATCGCTTGGAATTGCCAGCATCTACAGGAATCCAGTGTTTCATGCTCAGTTGAGGAGAGCAATTGGACACTACGCTTCGTCAACCATATTGCCGAATCAATTGAATGACGATATGAAATTGATAGTAGAACCAGAAGATGTCCTACAAGTATTGAAGATTTTCTGGAGTTGTCAATAATTGCATCAAAGATCTGGGGATCCTGTCACTTAAGGGTGTTATCCCTGATTTCCAACTTTCTGTTTTTAGAGATGTTCTCTATCTTTAGTTGAAAAGATTCTCTTTATCCTTTCTTTAGTTGAAAGGATTCTCCTTTTGTATAAATAGCCTTGCTTTGTGTTTTATAATCAATAGAAAATATATGAAAAGCCTTTTAGGCTTAACTCTGTTTGGTTTCTAGAAGTACGAACAACACAGGATGGAAGACAGGAGGCATTAATCAAATGGAAGAATTTACATGTGTTTGAAGCCTCCTGGGGAGATTGTAAAGTGTTGAAGATGCAATTTCCTTCTTTTCATCTTGAGGACAAGATGCAAGTCTGTGGTGGGGTATTGATAGACTTTAGAGTATAAAGACATATTCAAGAAGGAAAGAGAGGAGGACAAATGAATAAGATAAAGATAAAGCAAGTCTTGGATAAGTCATAAGTTCTCAAGTTTACAGATAACTATCTTATGTTTATTTTAATTGTTTTATTTGTTTTTCTTTAGGATCCGTTTTGTTCTAGGAGTCTTTTCCGTTTTATTCTAGGAGTTTTTTACTTATTAGTTTAAATAGGGAGAGACTGTAGCCTCTCGAAAGTTGTAGGGTTTTAAAACTCTAATCTTGGCAACCTTTTGTCGACTCTTATCAGACTTTCATTGCACAAATTCAGCCTCATATATGACCAAAAAAGTAAAATCTCCATAACTCAATTTCTATGCAAAAGAGCACTCACACTGCTATATTCCTTAATTCATGTGAACCATTTCACCAGCATGAGATATGCCATGCCACTATGCAAGACGAGATTGATGTAGTACATGGGTTTCAAAGTCTCTTGCTTCTAAAAAGCGCCTCTGAAGGTTTCAGGTGAGAATTTACTGTGAAGATTTATCTGGATGGCTCTTAGCTCACCTAAGAAGCCTGTCACTTGGCAAAGAGGCTCTTCACATGCTTATGCGACCAGGATGGCTTTTATATTTGTTTACATTGCAGTTTCACCTATTCGTTACCTGCCTCTCCATGCGTTAAGAATCAAAAATTCATTTGTCAATGGCTTTCTTGAGGGGTATATATGGATCGACTACACCAATATTGATAGAGGAGGAGCCTTCCAAAGTTTGCAGACTTAGATGGTCCTTACATAGTCCAAGTGGTTCCCGAAGCTTGGTTTGGGCACTCTACATCATTGCGCCAACATTTTGATATGTCAAGGAATAACAACTATTATTTAGCATTCAACACACCACAACATTCTCATCATTACATAATAAGTCTGTGAACAAGAGGTGAATCTTAGGCATAGCTGCAAGAGTTAGTCTTACGAAAACCATTCTAAGCCGGTGATGTTGAAAGACTCCAATACCTTCTAGGGATTGAGGTATCGCAATCTTACACTGCTAAATATTTAGTTTGCTGTAGAAAATATGTCCTAAATTTCTTACGCAAGTGGCTTATTTCAAGGAAAACTATTAGAGCCATCAATAGTTTACTGCTAGGAAATCAAATGAAGCCTATACCAACAGTAAGCCATCCCATACCACAAGCCCAATCACACTGCAATATTTGTTTGTTTTGAGAATATATTTGTTCCCCGTTTGAATTCCCATGGGCTATTTTCATATGTGACAGAACGTATTTGTTTGTTTTGGGTCCTGTAAGTATATATGAAATTAGTTCAAGACCTTTTTATTAGCAGGTTGAAGTAGATCATTTCACCAAACTGCTTTTCTCTTAAAGTCCAAGCATTTCGTAAGAGGTTACCTATTCTTGCAAAAAGGCTTATGGATAATATATGTATTATTATGTCAACCACATAAAGATGCTAGTTAAGTTTACCTGAACATCAAACGAGGCAAGATTGAAGCCTTCCGGAGTAAAGCCATATCTTTTCCAGACACTAAAGAAGGCAGTATGTGTTCGAATCGCAGGATCAATATCCCCAGCTAGAACCTTCCAATGAATTAGTCAGTTTTAAGGAACTGCCTGATATATTATCCTAGTTTATTATCTGATAAATAGAAAAACAGCATACAGAATATTACCTGAAGACCTGGCCAGAACGCCTGCAAGCTATTAAATAATGGCCAAACCAGTGCTGCAGAATTCATGTTGACTTCTACATACCTACACACCTTCAAAAATTTGTCATTCTGTATGACTTTTTATCATTAATATACATTCATTAAATAAAATTGAAAACGGCACATGAATATCATAGAGACACATGTCCAGAATATTTTACCAGGGGTCATGGAAAAGGTAATGCATGGCTGCGCCATAAGCTTCTTGGAAGATATACAGATACTCTTCATCTCCAAATAAAAGATACGCCTGGAAAGGGGGGGATCAAAAATAATGACTTGAAGATAAAAATATAAACTGATTGAAGGAGATGAAACTAAAATTTGGAACAAAAATTTGACTATTGCTTTCATAAGGGATATGGGGATGGGATGGATGGAGACATTTTTTTTGCTTTAATAGTATTCTTTGTTATGGGTGTGTGATAATATACGTGTCAAAACAGATTGAAGTCATGAAATCCACTAGAGTTTAAAAAAAAAAAGGCATCATCCTTGGGATTTCTCTAGCTCTTTCTAGGAACTCAACATGAATTTCTTTTTATAACATAATGGACATACAATATTGCATAGAAGCCAAAACAAAAAAAATTAATGCCATGAGCAATGGATGTCTGAAGTTGGCTGGACTTGACTCAGGGAAGTTAAAACTAGGAGATGATACATTGGAACTTCAGGATAAACATCAAAAAAAGCTCATGACGAAGTTTATTATGATGATTGTAACCAGAATTTCTGTATATCAATTCCCTAAGATACCTATTTTGAGAGCTATAATGTCAATTAGCAAGCTCTCCAAGGAGTGAAGAGTAATATCTCAAACACATGATGTATGTCTATACTCGCATGGTAACAGCTTAGTCTTCCTTTGTCAGCTTATTTACAGCCAAGTTGATAGGCGTTACCCGTTAAGTCACTGATTCATGTTAATAGATGATAAAGGGCTCAACATATCAACCTTCAACAAATTTCAAAAATGCAAATTGACTGATTTTCTGGATTCAGATGCACTTCAGAGATTACTACAATGTTCAAAATATTAAGATTTGAACATACAAGTAGCAATGGTACTTGTTATAATAGATGCTTCTTAACCTTAAAGGTCACCGCACGACATAGTTTATCAATTTGTCAGTGAGCATGTTGTGTGTGATGTCAAATTACTCATCAGTTACGATTTTCACTCAAATCTCATACGATTTCGTACTTTATAAGAAACATACCTTCAAAAGATATTCATAGAAAGAGTCAATACTTGTCCCTATTCCAGCATCCTAGAAGAAACTCAAAGTTAGGACTTCATATGACAGAAAGAAAGAGAAGAAAACTTACAAGAAGGTATTGCTTATTGTAAGAATAATAATAGAAAAGAAGAATGTAAAACATGTTTACATACGCATGAACAATTAAGATAAACTAAAAGTGCAGGATATTTAACTGTGTATGGCATTAATTGATGTCGTAAACAACTTTTTAGCTTTATATATTAAGGGGAGTAATTATATGACGCATGTGGACAAGGACCAAAATAAAATGAAAAAGAATATGAAGCAAAGGGCGTAGCCCTCCAAATAAATATCAAATGAACCAACCAGCTATAGAAGCACTAAATTCTCTAGAAAATAAAATGAAGGAAATATGGTTGTCTAAAAGTGGTTAAATAGATGCGTCATATTTACATCCAATTGAGTAATTTGATTCATCCCACAAATGTGTACGGATTTATCATTTATCAACTGCAAAGCATCACCAGCCCATTGCGTACTTATTTTATCCACCTAATTCGATCACAATTTGATGCTACAGCTAGATGATTTCCATCCACTATCCTATAGTATAAACAAAAAGAACTTTTTTATGAAGAGATTTAGAAGGTGTGATGATTCAAAAGCCAAGCGAGAGCTCCAGGTAACATCATATGTTCATATCATTAGAATTATGAACAATAGTTTCAGCAGGCTATTATTAAACATAAGAGGGCAAAAAGTTCCTAGAAACTATTACTCTATGCCAAGCATAAAATTAAGGCCAACCAAGAAAACATTGTAGTTAATTACACATAACACATGGAACGCATTCCACTCAGCAGTAGAGCCAGTGGTTTTTCACTTCTTCGTAACAAGCTTCACAGTGATGATATGTTTGGAGATGTGGAATCCAAATAAAGGTGTCTTGGACTGGTCCGATATGTATAGACAACAATGTGAGCCTTGTGACTAACTTTGTTTATTTCTTCAATATGCCATCGGGGTACACATAAGGGAAACGGTTAATAAGAGGTTAGGGATTAAGCTTGGATATGCCAGAACGAGATAGGACTTCCATATTTGACTACGTACAAGGGCTAAGGAAAAATGTGAGAGATTAAACTACATATGTTGGTTTTACATTGTTTTGTGTTGGTTTCCGTTGTCCCTTAGGTTTCGTTATCTAAGGTACCATGAACTTTATTTACGCAGGGTTTTTCCTCGAGATAAACCATTACTTCAAACCCTAAATCTCTACATGAAGCACCGGCCACCCTCTTAGGGTTTTCGTCCCCAATAACAATTCACTCTTTATCATTTGCCACCCAACTTGGCTGCAGGTAGAAGTTAATTGTCTGTCATCTCGCAGGTACAATCTATATACTTCTAGAGAAAAGATAGTTGAATTGAATGGTTACACATCCTTCAGCTTTTGAGAGGCTCAAGACTCTCCATACCTAACCAAGAGTTCGACAAAGAAAATATCTGCATGCCCACAGACAACAACAGCATTCATATTTATGGCCTCCAATAACCGACATACCCACCTGCTAACAACTTCTAACTGACCACTCAACTACCTTCTTTCTGGAATGACCAAACATCCCCTGGCTTCTTAAGCCTCCTGGAGTAGTGAATTTAACCACCGGTGTACCACTTACCACTCCAGTTCTCTCCCATCATCACCGCATCCATTGCCATTGTGGTTGTGTCTGCTGCATAAATCAAACCCAGCCACCATCATCTAGGGCTTCGAATTGTTGCCATGTACCCACTGCCTTGACAATAGCATCACCAACTTCAGGCAACCACCAGCAGGCCTCTAGGGCCTGGTCCTGCCACAGTTTGCGACCATCGTGGGAGATCCTATCCCTATCTGACCTGCTGCAGCTTGGTTCTAGCCTTTGCCACCATCAGTCCCTGCTTGTTTCTGATATGTCCAGTCCAGATCTCCTCATTTTATCTGATCATAGCCACCATCATCCTCGTGCGATGGTGACCTCCAAAAGACATTTTTAGCTCCGACTACTAGCAAAGCAATGCATTTGACCAGCATCTGTTCTTGGTCTGGTTAACCGTAAACATGTTCTCCTGTCTGAATTCATGTTCTTAGTCCAAATTGGTTGCCCTAAAATAAGTGACTTCTTTTACCTGCTGATGTGATCTCCTAGTCATGAATTAGGATAGCCTTCCAGAGGACGGATCAAGAAAATCACCATATTTGCAGATGCAGCTCAGCAGGTTCTCCGGAGGTCCCGAACAGGTAACTTTGTTCTTGTTGGTGGCCACCTCTTTTTGGTGAAGCAAGAAACTGGTGACAATTCTTGCGCTAAGATGGAATCAGAAAATCAAGTCATGGCAGATATTATCAGTAATGGAAAGACATCGACTAGACAACGGATGAACATTCTGGGGCCTTCCAAACAAATTGATGAGGATTATGTACATTGGGAACAACTTAGAGATATGTCGATGGATCTCGTCCGAGAAGTTGAACCTCTAGGTAACTAGGCTCTCAACGAGTCATCCATAAGAGTTGCATAAAAACTCACTCTAAATGAATTGGCATAAACATAGGAAACCTCATACAGGGATTATAATCAACATAAATCACGTCCATGTATGATGATTCTCATTCTAGATACAAAGAGAAAACACACACATTCTCTATATTCTCCTGCATCACTGACTTGATTATCGGAGTGTTTTCTGAAGATAACCCCTCGCTTTCCAGGATTTGCAGGTCCTCATCACCAAAAAAAACAGCAGCCTGAACACTGAGTCTCATACTTCTACAAGGGATTAAGCAACTTTCCCCCATAATTAGTTCAGTATTCAGATAGCAAAAGTTTCCTACTTTTCCACAATCTGATTGTTATCCACTGCATAACCATCAACACAGAACTACTACAGAATCTGTTCATATCAGAGCTGAGTGCCAATTACATGACATGCTGATAAAACTTTGAGAAGGCCCACCAATCAATTATATAGCAACTTGAACAAATAGATATCTATGCTCCAACTTGAGGAATGTTCATTTATATTGTTTTCTGCTAAGTTCCATTGTCAAAGTTTTCTTAGCTCCACCCACAACTGCAGTACCTCTACTCTATTTATACATGGTTCTCCCATGTAAAAACCCACAAACCCTACATATGTACGTGCTAGAGCCACGGTATTTTGAGACTTTATGATGCTTGAAAACAAAGATAAAATCCTAGATGCTTCCAAAGTCGCTTCAATGAGCATTTTGCAGGATTCATATCCAAGAGATAAATGCAACAGCATGATTGGAGAGTTTTTTTAGAGATCTAGTTATTTGTAATTGTTCCATACACCTTTCTCCAGTCATTCACATGTTCAAGTACCTTATGGTTCTATTTTAGGCCGAGTTTACATGGAAAACACAATATTAATCAAGATCTGCACAATAAACTCCTACAAACACATCACATGTACATTCATAATAATATCAATTGGGGGGAGGTGTCACCTTCTGTGTCCATTCACCGGTAAAAACATCAATATGAGCACCAACTAAATTTATCCTGGAACGACAAGCCCATATTCCGCGAACTGAATTCTTGGTAACTTGCTCAAAAACTACACAAAAATAGCAATAAGTAAAAGTAAATAAAAGAGAACTTTAATAACTATATACATGTCATAACCCCCATCCTCCATGAATCATGAGCAACAACCAAGCAAAATTTACAATTCACAGAGCATTTCACAAGTTGGGAAACTAAGGAAACACATTACAGTTAACCCATCATCATAAAGCAGAAGACAGCTATTTATGGAAAATTAAGTTTCCGTTTCTAGAAGCAATTTTTATTTATCCATGAGTCCTTCTCAAGTATTACTCCTTTGTAGCAATTTTCGTTTTGAATGAGCTCATAGTTTGATTGAAGCGTAGTTCGATAGAAGTGTCTGAATATCAATTGCATGCATAAAATACCTAAATAATAGAACCTCTGGATGAAACCGATATCATTTAACAATTTTTATTATGACAAAGAAATTTTTTGAAGAGCTTTTACTTGGAATTTCTAAAATAAGGTAAATTTTGCAACTAATTTGAGATTTGATTACGAGAATTGATTTGCTTCCCTTATTTAGAGTCTAACAAGTGCATAAATTCATGTGTTTAGTCTTGCATTCGGAATAGACAGAAATTTATAAACTCTCAATTCATTGCATGGTATCAAAGATAGGAATGCCCTAATGCCTAATCTATGCAAAGTAGGTGCCGGAAGAAATCGAAGAATTTCTTGGGAATCCTATGATATGTATCAAACAAAAAAAAAAACGATACAAAACAGGGCAATTCTACCCGATACTTCTTACTTACCTGGAATTCAAGACCCAAGGCAATCTCCAAAGAAAACACAGAAAAGCGTAAAAACAAAAAAACTCCCCAACCCTAAGGGTAATCGGCTATATTTATGCTGATCCCCACCAAAAGAAAACGTTTTTTACCAAAATTAAAGCAAAGGACCAAAAATAGATACCAACTATTGAAAAAAAGACCTCAAACCCCCTGGACTTCCTGTTTTCCAGTCTTAC